ACTATGGAAGGAGTGGAGAGAGAGGTGAAGATGTGGTAGGGAGTCCAGAGAGTTGGGAGAAGAGACAATGTAGTTATGGATGACTATTAAAGTGAGATTGGATAGTACTGATAAATTAATTGAGTTGTGGCTACTAGACCGAAATAGAAAATTTTGTTTTCCTTTGTAGTTATGCTATTGGAATTCTCATTTTGAAAACCTTGGTAAGTAAGTCATTAGTTGCCCCTAGTACCTTAGAGGCATAAATCCTTCCAGCTCTGTGGATCCTAGTACAGTGTCAGATTGTAGACACTATCATTGTTGGATGAACTACCAGAACTGGTGAGTTAACAGTCCTAGAGACCATTGTCTAAATCCTTTAACCTTTGGGAAAATATAGCTGTAGATCATCTACTCCTGTAGCCCAGACACTACAGTAGTAGAGATCATAGAAATGTCAAGAAGGAATAACCTTTGTTGTTTACACAGCAGCTAGTAGTTTTAAATACAGTTCACATTATGCTGAAACAAGCAGGACTATATAAAAGGCTAAGTAATAGTAGTAGTGAGAAATGATTATAAAGTGGTTATTTAAAGGCAGGCTAGAGATATAGCTTAGTGTTAGAGTGCTTGGCTAGGTTCAATCCTTAGCACTGCAAAGAAAAACCAACAAGCAAACAAAAATTGAAAGCAATTTAAGGAATGATAGAATAACATCATGGCATGTATTGGTGGGGGTTGGGCAGTGCTAGACACTGCAGGGGAGAGAAAGGAACTATTTGAAAATGGAATTGCCAACTTTAGATTCTTTACATATATATATTTCCAAAGATGACAGATTTTGGGGGGTGTTTATTTTATTTTTTAAACTTTATTTATTTATTTATTTTTATGTGGTGCTGAGGATCAAACCCAGTGCCTTACATGTGTTAGGCAAGAGCTCTACCATTGAGCCACAACCGCAGCACAGGAAGGTTATCTAACCTTCTGAATTTCCATTCTGCCATTACTGAATTCTGTATCTTGTACTGCCAGAATTCTGCTAGCTGCCATGAAGCAATGCTGTGGCAAGTGGCTAAGTGTGATAAAAACCTGTTTTTTTAAATTTTAAAATAGAATACAGATGTCAGAATACTTTAAAAATGTATTTAAAGATAGTTTCAATGTAGTGGAAATAGTAAAACATAGGAGAAGATTGAAGGTTTTTCAAAAATTTGCTTTTTATGGAATTCCTTTTTTTTTTTTTTTTCCTTGTAAACAGAAGATCACCTTCTTATGTCCCTGTTGATCTGCCAATTTCTCTTGTTCCTCTTCTGATTTTTGGGGCCTAGTGATAGAAGCTGCTGAATAGACAGGAAAAATGAATGATTTTTTTTTATATCACAAACTTTGATGGTGATTGTGTTTACAACTACCTATATAGAGTTCACATGCCTGATGTTACATGTGTACATATTAGTAATTTTATTTATTTATTTATTTTAAAAAATGGTACTGGGGACTGAACCCAGGGATACTCTACCACTGAGCTACATCCCAGCTGTTTTTTTTTTTTTAGTTGTAGTTGGATACAATATCTTTATTTATTTTTATGTGATGCTGAGAATCAAATCCAGTGCCTCACAGGTACGAGGTGGGCTCTGTACCACTGAGCTACAGCCCCAGCCCCCAGCTGTTTTTTATTTTGAGTCAATGTCTTGCTAAGTTGCTGAGGCTGGCCTTGAACTTGTGTGCCTCCTGCCTCAGACTTCTCAGTAGCTGGGATTATAGATGTTGACCATCACATCATTCTATATTTTATTTTTTTTAAACCCCAAAGAAAGTGAAACAGTAGATAAAATTTTTAAATTTTCAGTTCTCACTTAAGCCTCAAAACGAAGTGTTTAAGCATAGTCGAGATGGCAAAATAGGACTTTAGTATAACATGGTATTACAGAATTGTGGAAAATTCATTTGTTTTATAGAGCTGAACTCTACTCAGTGCTTTCTTTAGTTTTAATATCTCAGTCTGCATTGGTCTTTGATTCAGAATGAATTCAGGTTCTTAGTATGAGCAAGTGCCGCAAAGTTGGGCAAGCTTTTAAATGTGTAATGACTTTCTTTTTAATGATTGCTAGAGCTGTTAGCAGTAAAAGGAGAATGAAAGGGAACTATAAAAAAATGAGTATTTTGGGTGGATTAAAAACAGAGACAAGCTGTGGCCCTGCCAGCATCAGAAAATCATGGCACCGGTGGAAGAAAAGACAGAAGAAACTGCTGAGGAGCATGCTCTCGAATGAGCACACTTGGAAAGGCCTTCTATTAGCAGAGGTTTTCTTTTCTTCTAGGGGTGGAAAGGAAATTACATTGTGTTCAGATAAATATCCAAGATAAAATTTTTCTTTTTAAATTATGAGGTATATCATGTTATAAAATAAGTGGAGTGACATAATGTATGTCCTCTAGCTTGAGAAATTAAACACTGTAATTATGTCCCCAAGTACCCTTCCTTAGTCCTGTTTCCTGTTCTCTCTCCCAGAGTAACATTCTCTTAAATTCAGTGTTTACCCTCCATGCATGCATTTATCCTTTTGCTGTATAAATTTGTATCTATAAACCTTATATAGTATTATAAAGATGTTTTACAACTTTGTTTAGAAGATATTACATGATGTATTCTTCTGCAGGTTATTCTTTTTGCTTAATATCTTAAAAATGTTTAATTGATACATGTGGTTCTGGTTCATTCATTTTTAACTACTTTGTGGCATTTCTGTCTCTATTTCATGTATTTAGTCATTCTCCTGAAGTCTGAATGTGTTTTTAGCTTAATATTTTGAGGGGCAGGAAAGAGAAATCTATTATGTCATTTTTTAAGTTGGAAAAGGAATGTTGTTTTGACTTTGAGAAAAGCCAATTTCCTTTTTTGGTGTGCAGTCCCGTTTATTAGAATCCTGGGAAAACCCTTTGTACTTCCCCCAGAGGAGACAGAGAAGGGTAATGTTTCATTACACAGATGAATATGTCTTGTGCAAAATGCAGAATAACATCTGCTGTAATACAGCAAGCTCGTGAGGGATTGAGCTGCTGCAGCAAAAAGCTTGGTTTTCTTCACTAAAATTCTCAGATTTTTCAAGTGCAGACTGGCAGTGAATGGAAACTTGTTGGCATTAATTCATTGTTTCTTTCTGAGTGTTTGGAATTATATGCTATTTGGATACTATCTGCCCAGTTTGTAAAAGGATATGTGCCTCTTACAGTAAAAAGATTGTTCTTGAATTGTATTGTAGTTTTATGGAGCAAGCCAGAGGAAAAATGAGGTCTAGGAAAGAGGAGATATAGTTGGTGTGAAATAAATATTTGTTTTAATAATAAACATATTAATCCATGTTTATTCTTACTTTGTAGTTATAGTTTTAAAAAGACAATCTCTGATAGATTTTATCTTCTCAATTTCATGCTGTTTTTCTTTTGCAACAACCTTGATAATGGTTTGAGCATTTTTACAGAATACATAGTGCAGAGCTTCATTCAGGTTGTCCCGCCAAATGATTTGCTATATAGTGCATTAACCAGAAATGCTGAGGCAGCTAGGGAAACACTAATAAATGGGATGCTTTCCAGGGATGGTAGCTAAGGCAAAACAAACAGCAGCCAAAATTAAGAAGAAAATGTTACTTAGGCACTCAAACTGTAGTCTGGCCAGATATGCTATTAACACCGAATATCTTCTTCTAATTAAATTAATTGGGACCTGAGCAATTTGAAACACCAGATTGTCTGTTAAAAAGAGTGGCCAGTTTTAAGCATATTAGAACTATGGGTCATGTAAGAACAGTCTTTTGGTTAAAACTTATTGAGAATGAAAAATTATCTTTGGGTTTGTTTTTTTTTAGGGGGGGATAGATTCTGGGTCCTTAAGAATAATTAAACTCTGGGACCTGTTTGTTTCTTCCATAGTTTTGAAAGAAAGGGTGCTGAATGGATCTCCAGCAAAGGAAGAGTTCTTATTATTGTTATTTTTGTTGGAATGAATCATGGAGGAGAATGATTAAGAATTAAGAATGATTTGTTTTTTCACTGTTGCTTTTCTTGCTAGTCACACTTTTTTTTTTTTTTTTTTTTTTAAAGCCCATGCATAGTGTAGGTGTGGAGAGAGAAGATAGTGGTATGGGAAAGGACTTCTTTTATTTTTATTCTTGGTTTGGAATGATCTCCAATCATTTTCAAACAGAACCCCTATTCCAGAGAGTTGTATAGGTAGGCAAGTGAATTGGATGTTTTTTTCTTTTGAATGAACCAAGGTTTCTCTTTTTTGTGAATGAATTTGAATAGCCCAAAGTGTCTGTTGTCAAAATTCCTTTTAATCAAAACATGTTTTTTTCCTTATTTTCTCATCATTTATTAGAATTCTATCAGTTTTTTATAGATAGGGTGAAAAATTTTTTCTTCTTTAATATGAAAGTATTTCAAGGGTTGAGGACATATAGATCAGAGGTAAAGCCCTTGCTTAGTGTGCATGAGTCCCTGGGTTCCATCCCCAGCACTGCAAAAATTAAAAACAAAACAAAACAACAAAAAAGGTAGTTAAGAGTATTGCTAAAAGTATTAGTTTATGTGCTCACTTCAGTAGCACATACACTAAAATTGGAATGATACAGAGAAGATTAGCATGGCCCCTGTTCAAGGATGACATGCAAATTTGTGAAGTGTTCTATACAAAAAAAGAAAGTATTAGTTTATATGATTTGTTGTTCCCAAATTTTATGTTTGCTTGGATTTACCATGTGATAATTCAGAGAAATAAAGTATAACAGTTTCTCATAATCAGTCTGGATTAATTCTATGTTACAATTTATATTCTTTTAGAAGTACTTTCTTGTTCTAAGGGTCACTGTAATAACTGGTAACTAAGAATAACCTAATCAAGGTTTTTCAGACTTTCTTTTCTTATTTGGCATTATATGCTGCAGTACCCATGTTAGGAGGCTCAAGAGGGCCCTTACCTTTGACATTGACTTTACTTTTTTCTGTTCTTTTAGGTCTTTCACTACCATTCCTACAGTGGTTGGCAAGATATCGTTTCCACCTCACTCTCCATGTACCATGCCAGTGACATCTTAGCTGCTAGAGTGTGGAGCTGGCCTGTGGGAGTCAAGTAAGTGCCTTTTTTACTATTTGGCATGGTTTTTGCTTACTTTGCAAAGCCATGTAGAGAAATTTCTTAAGATTAGTTTTTAAAAAGGCACTTGCTTGATCCTTGTGGGTTGGCTCTTTGCTCCAGCCTGCTGTTGAACACCTGGTAGCTAACTTGGGGCTGAGTTTAGTGAGGTGACTGTTGCAGAATGGAACATTTTTGCTGAGGTAGAACTGAAGGGATGATAGATTTGATCCTTGCTTGAACATTCATACTATGAGCAGCCCCATCTCAGAATAAATCAGAATTATAAGCTTAAGTAGTTATTCTAGCCTCCTGGAAGTTTAACAGGTTATGGATGACCAAGAGTTTGTTGGTTTAAAACAACAGGGTTGCATGAAAACAGATCAGCTCTTCCGGGAAGCCAATGACCTTGATACTTATCTTAATTATCTGACCTAATATATGGAAGAAGTCATGGTTGACATTAATCAGGTTTGGGTTTCTGTGTTTGTTGCTAAAGTTGCTAAAACCTGGTATTTTACTTTTGCAGGTCATCTTATAAATTTTGCCTATATAAATTAACACATCCCCTGTTATATCATAACAACAATGTAAGGGAGAGTGTTTTCCTGCTCTGTCTTAGGTATTGGTGATATGACGTGTTCATGCAGGGGAAACTTGAACATTGACAGGTATGTGAAGATCATGATTCAGAAGCATTTTCTCCCAGCAAACAAAACAGTTTATTTCAGTGTGAACTTATGATGTGGTTTTACAAAGTTTATCTTTCCAGTTGATTTCCCTACCCACTGTGAGTATAGAACTAGGATTGGCAAATGATAGTCGAAACTGCTGCTTGTTTTTGTAAACAAGCAAAGATACATTTAACATATGTTTAGGGAATGTATGGAGAGTTAAACAAATCAACCTTATGCCTTTTTTTTAAGTGGGCACAGAAATATAAGATTATGAAGGGAGCCATTGTATTACCAGAGCTGTTATAGTCCTGTTTGTGTTATAAGCTTTTATTGAAACACAGGTTCATTCATTTACATGTTGTCTGTGGCTTCCCTTGTATTACAGCAGAGTAGAGTTGTTGCCACAGAGAGCTTATGGTCTATAAAGCATAAATATTTATTATCCGGTTCTTTAATAAAAAGTTTGTCAACTCAACTGACCAAGTTAGAAGAACCAAATGTCAGTTTGTTTTTAAATACAAACTTGCTAGAATCACAGTCAAATAGGCTTCCAGGAGTATGTTAAAATGTTGCTGACTAGCAAATAATATTTATTTTCAATAGTGGTATGATTACTAATACAAGGTAAATGAAATGGAAAGCTAGCTATAATGGCAGTTGAGATTCATCTTTCATTCATTATATTTTCTCTTTATTGGCATTCAGTGGTAGGATATTTTGTTTAAGATCCTTTAAAGGTTTTTTTTTAGAAAAGGGTAAAAAGATTTCACTACGATATCTGGTATGGTCACGAAGTGATAATGAAAGACCTCCTAACGCATGGAAGACTTAATAGTTAAAATAGATGTGCAATCATAGTTATTGAGGAACCAGATATGTTCAAGGATCACAGAGTAAATCAGTGGTAGAGCTAAAATGACAGTTGAAGTTGCCTGCCTTCTCAAGTTCTTTCTATTAGGTCCCACATCATATTATTGGCTACTTGTTTTCTTTACTAGCTGAAAGTCATAATCTATTTCTTTTCCTTTATTTTTCCTGAAGTAAAAGCAGACTTGATGATTTAAGTCACAAAGCTAGGACTGTTGAAATGTTGACCTTATTTGGAGTTTAGATGATTTTATTTTATGGTTGAAGATTACTGGAGGATTGCTTTTTAATGAATCATTCAATGCTTTGAGTGTACACTCAGAAAGCTTAGATCGGATGGCATAAAAAAGGAAGTCTGAGTCTTCTTCATAATTTTATAGCTATGTGCAAAACTTAAATTGCATAGATAGAATGTTCCACTTATTTGTTTATGTATCTAAGCCCATAGATGGAAAATATGTGTATGTTTGTGTGTGTGTGTGTGTGTGTGTGTGTGTGTGAGAGAGAGAGAGAGAGAGAGAGAGAGAGATGGAGAGAGAGAGAGAGAAAGTTTATCAGGATTGCATTCTGAATGAGTTTAGCAGGTGCATTTTAATCTGCAGTTTGTGTTGTATGGGTTTAAATGGACATTTATAAATACGTTTTATTTTAGAACAGTTTTAGACTTACAGATAGTAAAGGTAGTACACAGTTTCTATACCCCCTACCTTTCCTGTTAATAGTGTCTCACATTGCTATGGCATATTTATTATAATTTATTATGAACCAGTCTTGATATATTATTTTTATTAAGTAAAATAATACTTGATTCAGATTACTTCAGATTGCCTTCTCAATTCTAGGGTCAAATGATTTCCTCCTTTCTTTTCTTTTGGGATTGATAAATCAATTTTTATTAGCATGTTCATTGAGGTAGAAAGCAGTTCTATTATCACTTGAAGGTTAGATTAGTTCTGAGGTCTCCTTCAGTTTCCAAGATTTGGTTTAAAAAAGTACAGGCTTAAGTGCTGCAAAGTTCTGACTTGTAACATTTATATTCTCCTGTAACATGTTGTGAAAGTTGTTACTTTACCTTATTAATAGTAATGGCTCTTCAATTGTTTGTTTCTAAATTTTGGCATCATCAGTTCCAGAGAAGATAAGCTTGATTATTTCTCTTATTAAATGTCATATGCTAAATCGCTGGTAAAAATACTCTAAAGTAAATTGACTCTTTTGGGAACTGTGTAGATCAACTATTCTATTTCAACATGCTTTTCTTCCTTCTAATGAATCATTACTCATTCACATTTCACTATAAAGATCTTAAAATATTTCTTTCTTAAAAGTTCTTCAACTATTTACTAAAGTTGAACACATGCTTGCCCTCTGACTCAGCATTTCCATTGTTAGATTTTATACACAACAAAATTGTGTGCATGTATGTAGTCATCAAAAGACATGGATAAAAGTGTTCATGGAAGGACTAATAGTCCAAACTGGAATTCTCCAAAAGCTATCAATAGTAGAATGGGTCAATAAGTTGTGACATAATCACACAAGGAATATTAAACAGTGGCCAGAATGAACAAACTACAGCTACATATAAAAATTGGTGAATCTTACAAATATAATGAACAAAAGAAGCTAGATACTAATAGTATATTCTCTGCAATTTCATTTATGACAATTTCAAAAAAAAAGGTAAAACTAATCTGTGGTATCAAAAGTCAGAAGATTGATTATCCTTGTGAGGATTGGGGGAAGTGTTTGGAATGGGGTATGAAGGAGCTACTGGGATGCTAATAATGTTGTGTTTCTTGATTTACATACTTGTTACATGGGTGTTTTCACCTTGTGAAAAATAATCATGCATATATACTTTTTTCCTCACATTTTTTAATTGGTGCATACTGATGGGATTTGTTGTTAGATATTGGTACATGCACACAATACCTAATAAAACAATATAATTTTGCCAGTATCACAAGTGTATATACTTTTCATATGCATATTATTCTTCAAGGAAAAATGTATACAAATATATTAAATACTATTAGGAATTATAAAACATCACAAAATTTCATTGTGAACATTTAAGGGATGTATGGAGAACGAGTTAAACAAATTAACCTTATGTCTTAGAATAACTGTAGATAGAATTATAGGGTTATGAAGGATGCCATTGTATTACTGGAGCTGTTATAGTCTTACTTGTGTTATAAGATGAATAAAGTAGGTAGTATTTATGGCTTTTTAGAAATTACTGTTCCTAGGTTTTTGATGCTTCAGAACAGGAATTTTTTTCTTCTTGGTCTGTGTTAAGTAGAATCACCAAGTCACAATGTTCGTCCACTCTTTTACTACAGTAAAATGCCATAATCCAAGTAATTGTGACTTAGGTATATTAGTGTGTTCATGATGGTGGTATGTTCTCCTTCCTGCAGATTGTCTTTGTTAAGTCAGTGAATGAGCTTCAGTCTTGCCCCTTGTATATTTTAAATGTTCTCTTGACTTAAGGTATTACTTCACGGAATATAGAGAGACACCTTTTCCAAATGGACTTTCTTTTTTTTTTTTTTTTTAAAGAAAGAGTGAGAGAGAGTGAGAAAGAGGGAGAGAGAGAGAGAACTTTAATATTTATTTTTCAGTATTTGGTGGACACAGCATCTTTGTCTGTATGTGGTGCTGAGGATCGAACCCCGGCCGCCGCACGCATGCCAGGCGAGCGCGCTACCACTTAAGCCACATCCCCAGCCCCCAAATGGACTTTCTTACTGGTGCCTTTGGTTTACCCAGTTATTGGAGATAAAAATCAATTTTAGCATTTCTATATTCTTGGGTAATCTTTTCATACCATCTTTTTAAAAAAATTGTGGTAAAATACACATAACATTTACCATCTATCACTATTTTTTAAATATTCAGTATCTTACCCTTCGATTTAGTAACTAAATCCTAATCTGGCTTTCTCATCTCATTTATCTTGCATTTTGCATTCCAAATATCAGTACTCTCCCCATGTTAAGTGTGTGTGTGTGTGTGTGTGTGTGTGTGTGTGTGTGTGTGTGGTACTGGGGATTGAACCTAGGAATGCTCTACCACTGAGCTACTTCCCCAGCCCTTTTTATTTTTTGAGACAGGCTCTCATGGAGTTGCCTAGGCTGGCCTCAAACTTGAAATCCTCTTGCCTCAGCCTCCTGAGTTACTGGAATTACAGGTGTGTGCCACCACCCCCAGCTCCTCTTGTTTATATTCTTAACATGTTTCTAGACTTTTGCTTAAATATGACCCCAACTTTCAGTATTTCTCCAGTAATCATCTTGCTAGATTTATCTAAAACCTCACTTAATAGGGACTTGGGTATAGCTCAGTGATAGTGCACTTACCTAGCATGCCCAAGGCCCTCAGCACCACACACACAAAATAAATAAATAAAACCTCACTCATTATTTCATTTCTCCATTCAAAACTATAGCTCTCTACTACCTATAGAACTTAATGCAAATTCTCCTTAGTCTGATATTCAAGTCTTTCAATAATTGAATTCCAATTCTATTTCCATCTTTTTTTTAAACTTTATTTTATTTATTTATTTATTTTTATGCAGTGCTAAGGATCGAACCCAGGGCCTTGCATGTGTAAGGTGAGCACTCTACCACTGGGCCATAACCCAGCCCCATCCATCTTTAATATTAAAGATTATGTTTTTGATAATCAACGGCTGCTTGCTTGCTAACTTCCAAGTTGCATATGGCAATGTTTATGTGTGATTTTATTTAATTTATATTGAATAGCAGTCTACATCAAAGACTTTTTCTTGGTTCTTTGAGTTTCTTATTCTTCCTCCTCCTTCTCCCTTCTTTTTGTGGGGGTGGGTAGCAGGGATTGAACCCGAGGATGCTTAACCACTGAGCCACATTCTAGCCTTTTTAAAATTTTTATTATTATTATTTTTAATTTTGAGACAGGGACTCACTAGATTGCTTAGGCCCTTACTAAGTTGCTGAGGTTTGCTTTGAACTTGATGTCCTACTGCTTCAGCTTCCTGAGCTGCTGGGATTACAAGTATGCACAATTATGCCTGGCACTGTCACCATCTTTTTGAAACGGGATTTCACCTTATTGCCCAGTTTTCTAGCCTTGAG